GAGCCTCCGGACGGATCCCGCGTTCCCCCGTTCCCCGCTGTCCCGCCCCTTCGGCTCGGGAATTCCAGCCCCATTGGCCTAGCGCCACCTTAGCCTGTATTTGTCTACAGTGCCATCGAATTCCTCAAGAGAAATAGTATATATTAACATTAAAAATACGTATCACTGACATAAGGGAAAGCACATGAGAATTTTAATTATTTTGAAACTATGCTTGCAGGATCCCTAAAAAAAAATCACCGCAATTCCAGCTACCCATAAAATGCCCAGCAAAAGCAGCCAGGCAGCCTTAACTCTGCTCTACAGGCAAATCATGCAGTAATTAAGGAACTGAACCTCAAAAAAAAAAAAAGTTAGCAGTTTGGACCTTCAGTTAGATGAAACTACTTTTAAATACACATTACTGTTTTGTTGATGATGGTATCGACAAAACAACATTTAAAGAACAGTGATAGTTTGAGTCAAGCCACCACGAGGAACGCGCGGGGTCAACACGCGTTTGCCCACCTGGATGCTGCCATAACCGCCAAGGCCTATTTTGGTCTTAGTCCCATGTTTCTTTATATATATATATATTTTATGCTTGGTTCATTCTGAAATTTTGTTTTGGAAATTTTGACTATTAGTACAGTGAAGCAAAACAAGTGTTGAAATTTTTTTACAGCCTGGAAGAATGAAACCGTCTTTAATACTCACAGTGGGTATAACTTAGGGAACTTCTCACCTTCTTGAAAGTGCCTCACTTCTGAGGCAGACACATTTTTACAAATCAGGTTCCATTCTCTCACATCCACAGTTCTCTCTGCTGATCTGTCAGTAGCAGAATGTTCTTAAAGCTAAAGATACCCACAGAAATGGAAGGCCCAGTGCCAGCTCCCTTTATACATGCCTCTGAAGAGCCACCATAATTCTCAACTATTGATGTGAACCAGTTTTGCATGTGCAAAATGCTAAAAAAAGAATTTTCATGGTCCCATCATCAGTTGCATGATCCAGGCCTTCTGCCCAAAAAGGTGGCCCTGCAAGAGGCACAGATCCAAATAGGCTAATTACAAATCTGTATGTAAATATTCATACCCCAAAGACCTATTTATTTATTTTCTTCTTTTTTATTCTATTTATTATTATTTTATTGAAATTATTTAAACTGATTTCCTCCAGGCAGTCTGCTGTTTGCAGGGTGCCTGCCACAGCGACATTCGATCTTGGAGCTCCTCAATCTAGGATTTTTTTGTTTAACAAAGTTTCATTCCTTTTCTGCAGATTTCATTGTGCTAATTCCTTTGGAATGCAAAAGAGCCTGCAGACAGGTTAAAATGTCTGAAGTTACAAAGCGACTATCACTTCCACCTCCTTTCCATAGCCAGAGCAGAGGAAGAACAAGGAATCTACCTTATTTATTGTGTGGAGGAAAAATCTTCTCATGAAAACAAAGCTGCCTGGAGTTGGAAAGCACATTCTCCCCATACTATGAAAGCAGATGAAGAATATTTTTCACAGAACTCATCTCATAAAGATGAACACTGTTTTTTCAGATAGGCCTCTAAATGTTCTCATGAAATTCTACTCATAGTTTTGTTTTGTGGGAATAAAACAGCAAGTTTTGATACATTTTACTATCTACCTATTGTCTAATTAATTTACCTAGAATGCCCTCCAATGATAACCAAACCCAAATTTGTTTAAATTCTATTGTCTAGGTTGACACTTTTGATTCAGTGTATCCCTCTGAAACTGTTTGCTTAAAAAACACTTCTGTAAAATACTTCAATTATTTCAATGAATGATTAAGAGAAGCATATTGTTTCTAAAAACAATTCTATGATTGTTCCACATAGCAGCCCTATACACTCTGGAGAACAGTGTTTGATCGGAGTTAACCTTTAAACCAGACAAATGCCATTTGTTGTCCCTGTGAAAAACTGGACCAAATCCAAGTTTAAAAGTACCAGAAAAATAATTACAAATTCCCACACACTGGGTAGCAGGCACTCGATAGCATGGGGCAGAGCCCAGCACTCTTTAGCGCATGCTCAACACTCAGCACAGTTTGCTGTGCCGTCCCTCGAGGACTAAGCTCCTAAGCTGGGTGCTCTGCAGGAAGCTCCTCTTCTCCTGCAATTTGGCCTTTCCAGGGACAAGGGCCACTGGGACTGTAAGGGCTCAGCCTTCTCCATGCTCTTCATTGACAGGACTGCACCTGCCCCCATGGATTTGTGCCATCATGTACATTGCAAAGGAACCGACTTTGGATGTTACGGACTGCCTTTTTTTTCGGGTATTTTGAAACCCTCCATGGCTTCAGTTATGCAAATTCATTTTGCTAATCTTAATGTCATCTTAAATTTATGGGATTTTCTAAGTGTAGTCTTAAACCAAAATATAGAAGAACTGTATCTTGACATACATTGGTATGCTTTTGATAAATCTCTCACTGCTGAAGAAAAAAAGAGGCCCAAACACCAGATTTACATATTATCAAGAATTGCTGAATCCTGAATGAGGTAGGCCCAAACACCAGATTTACATATTATTATCAAGAACTGCTGAATCCTGAATGAGGCAAGGCTTATGCAGAAAGGCATTATTTTATTAGACTAAATACTAGATTTTGAAAAAAACAAACTTTAAAAGCACATCAGCCCTTCTTCAGATCTGAAATATAAGCAGCAAACCTCAAAAGTCTTCTGACTTATGTAAAAAGAGAATTAAACTTATTTTTTACCCAAATTTGGCCATTGTGTTTTCTATTTTGCCCTGATTTTCCATAAACAATGTTCTTATTAAGAGTTGACAAGATAAAAGAGTCCAGTCAGGATTTTTGCTTTAGCGGAGTTTGAACTGAAATGTTTACTCTTGCTTAAAGCACATACTGTTGTAGTAAGGCCTTGGGATTTCTTGTAAAGACAAGTTACAGGTGCTGCCTTCCTTTCTTTCTGACAGAGAAATGACTGAGGGGAATATCATGCCATTATTTCTGCACAGGACTCCCCTTTGAAAGGTTTTGAAAGTCTGCATAAAAACTGTTGGCAGGAAATGGCCTGCAGTGATTTACTTTCTCAATGTCACACTGCAAAGCTGTACAACACACCGAGCCAGCACTGTTCCTTTCTTGGAATGCTTATTCACCTTTCTGCGGAGCTCACCTTCCTGCTAGGCTCAGATTTGCACAGCCCTGTGACTCTCTGTCAGTCCTGTTACTATCAGGTTGCCCAAAATGAAGATAAAACAAAACAAAACAAAACAAAGTAAAATAATAAAGCAAAACAAAACAAGCCTTTGCCACCTGCCACCTGCTCTTGTGGAGGTGTTTCAGAATTTACAGGAAACAAATTTAATAGGACTGTTTTTCATAATCAACTTTAAAATACCCTTATGCTCAAATAACACTTTAAAATACCAAGTTGCTTAGAGCAGGTATATCAAAGATTAATGGATACATCAATTTTTTGATTGAATCATGACCAACAATATCAAATAAATGACATGACATCACATAAATATCACATAAATCTTTAAAACAATAATATTTCTTTACATTAATTTGAAAAGATCAAGAATATAGATTCTGCTCAAAAATATGAAGGGTCAAGAATATTACACCCTGAATTTACCTTGTAAATGCAGCTGTAAATTCTAACATCAGCTGAGTTACTTTGGATTTGCAAAACAGGGGAGGTTCTTATCTAAAGGGATTCTCAGTTCACCCCGCAGTGTTGTTGTAGAGCTCTAAACTACAAACTTCAGGGCTTTTGAGCATCCTGGAACAAAAAGTATTCATTTAGTTTAATTCTTCATGCAAGGCCTAGGTTACAGTTTTGAAGACTACAAATATCTGAGTAAGTTTCTGAACATTACTGTCTTATTGACCTCAGCATATAAACACAAGTCAGTGAAAATCCAAGGCATCACCTGCTAAAACGTGCACTAGTAACTGCCAGCATGTAGACAGCTTTTATTATTTGAGTACTTTAACTCTTCCAGAAAAAATCAGCTAACAGACCCTATATCAAAACGTGCTCAAATGTTTGCTTAAAACATCATTGCTTATCCTGCTCACCCACTCATTATTCTTCATAATTGATCAATATGGCCTAAATCAGGCAGGATTTTATGCAGGCATAGACTCTTAAATGCACCAGTTCTACAGGCTGATTTCCAAATAAGTTTTTTGCTCTTGCTGCTTGGCTTTGACAGACACCGGTCGCAGTTTCCTACTGCAGTGCAAGGGATGCCAAGTAAGAACATGGAAGGATCTATGCTAGAGAATATGGCAATTTTTCACTGTAAAACCAGCCTCACCAAATAAGCATTCCCGTTGAGAACTGTCCCTAATCCAGTTATCAGTTTTTCAGATCAATTTGACATCATCTTCTGCTTGGAAAAATAACCATCCTAGTTTTGAATGTGAGGAACAGGATTAGCTGCTATAGAAAAAATGGAGAGGATGAAAAAACACAGATAACACTGCAAAGCAGGCTGATATGATGTGAAGGCTTCCTAAGCACACAGCTTTGTATGCGGTAAACTGCCGAACACAAAGGAAACAAAATGCACAGGAAGTTCCCGAGATTGTCACCAACCAAAATGTAAGCCCTGCCTAACTTTACATCACTCACTGGCATAGCTAGTAGACACACCAGAGAAGTACTAACCTCAGAGAAAACTCTGAGGGGAACCTTAGTGTTTCCCACTTGCCATTTTCTTCATCATGCATAGCAACCACTCAGATGTATCATAAATATTCAGGAAGTTAATGGTTCTTTTAGTTTTAGAATAACAGCTGTCCGCTTGTTGTTGGTTTTGTCTGAATAATAGAAGAGGATGTACATATATATAAAAAAAATCTTCACTGCTGGTTGTAGCTGGGCTTTACTGTTTCTAATACTGGGTCACAGAAGATACAAAGGCTTTATAGCCCCACTATAAAAGAGCTCTTTATCTTTCTTCCACTAATTCTGTGGTGTCACATTTAACAAAACTAGGAAACTGGAGATAATATGGATGTTTGCAGATTAGATATCAGGTAATAAATAACACTAATTTCACATACCTACAAATGTAAAGGCACCTTATCACTGTTCAAATTTCTCACCCTTTGTAATGGCTGCCAACACTTTAACCCAGGCAAATTGGGGTATTGTTTTTGCTGTTTTTTCACAGGGATAAAATACACAGTCATAATATCCTTTCATCAGATTTCATGGTATAAAAGGACTTTGGAGCATAATTCCCGCCATGTGCTGCCGAGATAGTTCCAGAGTTTCTGTTCTGGAAGATGTATTTATCTTACTTTTTAGTCGTTTTGCTTCCTTTTCACAGCGGTCTGAGTACCACTTGCCCTAGAAGATGCAGCTGTGATTCTGCACACTCGGTGCAGTGCTACAGAACCACCGAGGTCCCCAGAGAGATTCCTTCCACTACCAGGAGACTCTACATCAGTCACAGCAAAATTAAACAACTCCAGGTAGGGAAAACCCAGTATAAATATTTCCTGTTGTGCACTGTAACTAAAAGCCAGGTTTCCCAGGTGGCAGTGGCTTTTAAGTGAAGGGAGAATTCTATTGTAGCTTCTATAACTGATAAAATGGCACCAAATGTTTTTATTTTGATTTAAATGTATGTAAATGTATTCCTATAGCGTTTTCACTATCCTGTAGTCTCTTAGCACCAGCTCACATTGCCTTGATGATTTTTTATATGCAACTCAAAAAGTAGCTACTAAAATTGTTACGATCTTGCATATATGTTCTATAATTTGCAACAACAAGCCAAATCTTGACTTGTTTTTAAGTGCTCAAATACCCATTCACTGTAGAAGTTTATTTTTCAACTTGTTCAAAAGCTGCTCCTTCTCTTAATAAGTGTAATCTTTTTTACTTACTAAATGCAGAGGTTTTATGTAACTAGTGTGATTTGCCTAAAGAATGAAATTGAAGTTCTTTTCTTCCCTGTGAGTTGCAAGTTTCAGGAACAACCACTATTAAGAACCACAGTGGAGCCAGTAATCAGGGCTCGATTTTTAGAGTCCAAGGCAGTACATGATATTTTATCAAAGCAGTGACAGGCCAATCTAATAATCCATATAAACAACAGCAGCTTCTAACTGAAGCAGACAACTACTTGTGTTGGTAAAAGGGTTCTTACTGGGGTTCTTGGGTCATCAGTTTATGCTCATTTTGTCTTGCACTGGAGTAATGCTTCTCTATTTCCCCCTTGACGCGTATTACTTCAATAAATTTACCTGTCATAAATAGACATAAGGGAAGTGTAACCATTTGCATGATATGTACTTGCCGGATACCAATTTTCTACAGCTAATAAGAAAGAGAGATGTTTTCTCTTAAACATACCTGTCCTCATACAGAGTGTAGATTTTAACTGCTCTGGAGCACATTTCTAGTTTTGCTCTAAGGATTGAATAAAATGGGCTAAAAGGCAGTTTAGAGCTACATCTGGGGTACCTGTTGCCCACTGACAAGTAATTCCTATTTTGAGCAATTTAATTTTGCAAAGGCATTTATTTCTCTTCCAGTCAATACTAATAGCTGTTTTTCTTGTTGTAGCTTTCATACTTTTCAGAATCAAAGTTCATCGGTGTAATTTAGCTAATGTACCCAGTTAAATTAAAGCTCTGTCTATAGAATAAATTCTTTAAGAGAAATACATTTTCTGTGCAAAAGAATACATATTTATTTCAAATTAAGAAAGATGATCATTTTTTTCCATTCTTAGGCTAATTTCCCATGCCTGTCAGCTATTCCTCAGTTACTGGTAAAGTGGCTTTAGATTCTGACTTGGGGAAAAGTATCTGTTATAATGCATTTAAATATTTGTTATAGGTGAATAGAGAATAAAATAGATGTTTTATGACTGTTCAGAACAAATGGTGCATAAAACCCTCTTAAGAAAGAGTTTCTCACCTTTTACCTTAACTCAGCTGACCAATGTATGTCTAACAGCTACTATTGGCTTTGCACTGAAAGGAGGTAAGTCCTTCTTGTGCTACCTGGCTGTGATTATCTGAATTCTTTACTTAGGATTAAGCTGGGCTTGTGAATATATTTTTCACTTTTCTTTCCATGTGCTCTGGAGGTCCTGACATCAAAGAAAACATACCCATGCTTAATTTTACACAGGCAAAGAACTCAGTTAGCATATGTAACAGTTTTTGCAGGAATAGGCTTTGATTTCTGTTTGTAAAGTACCTGTCTGGCAGCTTTAAGGAAACTTAACTCCTCCCTCCTCTCCCCCCTGCCTTTTATTTTTTCCTAATATTTCATTCATTTCCCTTATCTTAAAGAAAATAAAATATCTCCAGAAAAAAAGTTGAATGTAAGCCTAGGCTTTCCACAGCTGACCTCCGAAAGCATTCAGAGCATGTTATATGGTCTGGCAATTTGCAGCCTCAGAAAAATAAGTATCTGATTCAAAATGAGCATCCCTATGGATTACTTCATGGGCTTTACTTTGAATTAATCAATCCTCAATTGTGAAAGAAATTAAAAGAACTTTATCCACTACATTCTGCTTTCTTCATGAGTCAAGGAGCAACTATAATGTGTTCATTCTCAGAATAATGTTTCATTTATTTCTCACATACTAATGTGTATACTTTCTGCTTAAAAAAAAAAAAGTTGTTTTTCTGGCAAGACTGATTTGAGAAACTCTGGTTACAACAAATTCCAGTTCATAAACATTCCAAAACAAGCAAACAAACAAAAAAACCCTAAAATTAAAAAAAAAGTTTTAAATAACACAATTATAAAAATGTTGCTATTAAAATGAAAGTCTCTTAAATCCACTCTCAGGAGATGTACTTTTTAAAATTGAAAACTATTTTAGCGTCATTTTACAGCTTAGGTACAGATTAAAACATAGCAAAAAGAAACCTGATAGGTTTTCAAATGTGTCTTAATGCAGATTAGTATGACCATATGGTTTGTAAGAGAGTGGACGAATGTTTAAGTCTCAGAACAGCACAAGTCTGACACAGCACACCAAATATATGGAAAATGGAAATTATAATTATCCACATTAAGAAATCTAACATCCTTCATCACAGAGTGAACATACACTGACCAGAAGTAAAAAGAACCGATTCACATAGCAATCTATCACCTCCTAAGATGACAATTAAGCCCCTTGCAGTTCTGCAGCAATCAATTGAGTGAGGAGAAGGAAATATTTCATTTGAAATGATAAGGGAAAGCACGTGCCAAACCCAGTTCAATTTTTATTTCAAAACCTGTTTCAATTTCCTTAACACTGCTGTATCATTGACATATGATTATTTCTTTCTGCTCGTGAGAACTGCAATGCATTCCTATGGGAATGCTCATGATTAAAACTTTGCAAGATGACCAGAACAGACCACACCATACCATTAATGCCACGACAGAAAAATGGAAATTGGCTAGCTTTGTTATTTACTTTTGAGAATGCTTCATGAATTTCCTCACTGAACTGAAATACAATTAATGGCGAAACGTGTATCAGTAGAGGCTGTGTATCTATTCTTCACTGGCTCTGCATCAAATCTAAAAGTGCTCAGAAACGACATTATGAGGCACAAAGAACATGAGCAGAAGCAGGTAACTGAGAATGTCAAGGCAAAGTGAAATCTGACTCCTCTTTCACAGCTCTGTGGGGTTCTAACTCTAGCAGAAGTTAAAATGTGGGTTTGTAGGTATGATAAAGAGATACAACTCAAAAATGTGCGGAAACTGGACAAGAAAAGCTCTGTCGCTTTTACAGTCACCTGTAAGAATTAATTTAAGATGCAAGTATCATAACCAGATTCGCTCACATAGCCAAATCAGGATGACAGAACAAAACTACAACACAGCATTGGACCTGCAAGAGGATTTTGTGCTGCCCTTCTGAAGGCTCCTGACTCGAGTAAGGGGCTGCTGCTGAATGTATTTTATAGCTTCTCTCAGTGAGAGTAAAACATGCCTGTAGCTAACGAGCCCTTGGGGAAGTATCGCGCAGACTCGGGTTGGTTTAGCATCTCTGAGGTCTTTACTGGCCATATGGAGGGAATATAAATGAGGGCACTCCCTCCCGCCGGCTCCATGCACAGCACTTGCTCACCGTGCTCCGAGCTTTCTGTGATTTCCATATAAATGCACTCTTGAAAAGCAAGCGCCTAGGTCAAAGGTAACAGTGCCGATAATTTCAGAACTACTGTTTAAATAACAGGTGTGCTCTGAGAATGCCTGGATTTACCCTCATTCCATAGTTTCTCATATCTCCTCCAAGAGGAAACTGCCAGAATCGTTTAAGCTTGCTTGTTTGCTGGAGACACAAGATGGCAAGGTTTGTAAACAGGCAGTTCCAACAGAGCAGAAAAATAACGAAACAATTAGCATGTCCTACATATTACAGTTGCAGTCAACACATGAGTTTCATTTACCACCGTAAAGTATCTACTTAGTAATAAGTAACAAAACTCAGTAACTACGAAAGCAAGTTCTTCCACAATCCAGAAGATCTTCTGACCAAACTGATCTGACACTTTTGGTTTGCTCATCCCAGTATTAGAGGTTTTTACTTTGAAGAAACAGAGAGAGGGGAAAGAAGTGTCAGATTTTAGCTCCCTGCTAAAACTTCAAGCTAGGGAGCAGTAATGGTGTCCATGAGCACCTCCTCTGGGGAACACACTGTAGAGGCAGTAATGCTGATATATAGAAACAGCTATATTGTAAATGTATAGAAATGGTTGCACCAGCAAGCTTTGCTGCGAGCAGTGAGCATGTAATAACCACCTGCCCTCTGCAAAGGTTCCTGCTGCTGGTGAGGCTAATTATCCATTTCATATATGCTGGACACCAGCCAGAAATGAAAGTCCCCTCTTCAAGCTTGTTTGATTGCTCAGGTACAGGTACAATACAGACTTCAGCAACAATATCCTAAAAGTGTAAGTAAATATTTGCAAACTGCAGATACTTACAGTAACACCTCTGTAGTTAGTACTCAGTTCCTCTTAGTTTCTCATACTGTAAGAATGCAACACTAGCAATGGTCAGAGCATCAAGAAGCAACAAGTGAGGAGATCCAGGAACAAGGCAGTGTGTTATCACAGGAATTACCTTTTTTTTTTTTTTTTTTTTTTAAGATTACTGACTTCAGGAGAATGTCGGCCCTTGAAGAGGTGGTCTTGTCGTGCAGCGGAACAGAGTCAGTAGAAAACAACACTTTCAAAGCACTGAGCACCTTGAAGTCTCTGGAACTCCACAAAAATCACCTGACACGTATACCCACCTTCCTCCCAGCTGGCCTTGAGATTTTAAAACTTGGTGATAACTCCATCAAAACTCTGCATGCATCTGATTTTGAAGGTCTGAGGGAACTAAGAGTGCTTGATATTCGGAATAATTTGGTTGCAACTCTGCGCCTGAGTGCATTTTCTTCCCTTGGCAATTTACAAAGTCTAACTGTGGATGGCAACAAGCTGGAATCGGTGTCTGCACCATCTAACCTTCCTAGCCTGAAGTACCTGAGCATGGCTAACAACAGAATCAGCACTTTCCCTCCTAGCTTCTTCGCATCTTTCCAAAATCTACAGTTTCTCAGCTTAAGTGGCAACTTTTTGACAAAAGTGCCTCTTGACCTGCCTAAATCCTTGCTGTCACTAAAATTTGAGAAAAACCGACTCAAAACAATAAGACTTCGAGATGTGAAACACCTTGAAAACCTGTCTGAGTTCCTCCTTTCGGAAAATCAGCTTTCCTCAATAGATGGTGCCCAACTCCTTCCTAACTTAACAACACTGGAGCTCGCTAAGAACCAGCTCCACGCGATGCCGCTCCGGCTCCCAGGCAGACTGCAGAAACTTGACTGCAGCAACAACCTGATTCAAAGGGTGACAGCCCAGGACTTCCAAGGATTGCAAGACCTCAAGCACCTGTTTCTTGACAACAACGCCGTCCGCGTGTTTGAGGCGGGAGCTCTTCAGCAGTGTGTGCAGCTTTCCAACCTGGCACTGGAGCAGAATCTCCTCATCTCTATTCCGCTGAGGCAAGTGAATCCAAGGTCATCACCTCCTCCTTCCTTAGATTAGAAGAGTGAGGTCTAGACTGAGATAAAGTTGCATTCAGTAGAAGTATCTCCATGCCATAGGCCCTCTGCCATAGGTAGCATTAACTGGTAACCCTGTTGGCAGCCTCATAGAGCTGGAGCTGTTTCTGTTACGTCTCTGGCATCCAGTGAATCTGCTCATTTCACATCTCTGGCTGTCAGTGAGACCACGTATTTAATTAGCACATGAATAAAAGGAGCAGAATAGAAGACTATAAAAGCATGATTATAGAGAAGTTATACTGCTGCTTAGTTTTATCTTCTCCTGTAACACAAAATTAGTGCAGCATTCAATAAAAGTGAAAGATGGCAAGTTTAAACAGATGTTTGTCAACAAACTTGAGAATTTTAAAATTGATGAGTCTGGTCAAAACATATGTAGTCTTTAGGTGGACATTTCCCAACTTCATTTAATTCACACAAAACCAAGTATTTGGAAGGCTTATAAACTCTCCTGCTTCAGACTTTAAGCAAAATTCCAGTCAAAGAAGCACAGAAGTTGCCCCTTTGGCACACTCTGCTCCTTAATGCCTTGTCTACAGGTTCTCTCACATTTATTTGAGTTTTGATCTTGCCCATTATCAGAGATGCTGCGCTAGACCAAACAGGGGTAGTCTGATGTAAAGTGGCATTTTTTAATATTATTTCAAAAAAAATGTGCAGTTAGATGGAATAAAATAGCCATGTCATTCCATTAACGTCAGCTTAACACAACTGCACTATTAAATTTTACTTTTATGGCTTATGGACAGATTTAATTGGCCCAAATAAATAACGTAGTAAAATTTCAATTCATTTAGCATCAGGTCCTTTAGTATTTGAATCTATTTGGTAGAATCTCTATACTCAGAAAATGATTTAGTGATATATAAATATTTGATTTTAGTCTTGACAGGAATGTTTAATGCTTTCTAGTTACGTAAGTATTGTCTAATCTATCTTATTTTACAACCTTCTAGTCAAGAGAATTAACAGGAAAAAAAAGAGTTCTCTATCAGCCTTTTGCCAGTATAGCTTTTAAGTATATACTCGAGAATTTTACCTTGAACTCTACAATGAATAAAAACTTTGAGTAGAGACTAAATATAACAGAGGAGGGAAGTAAAAATATATGTACTTAATTAAATTGTCTGTTGATGCCAGGCCGTTGCATGGATGCACAGAAATAAGCGTGTAACTTCTGACGGTTACCTGAGAACTATTAGTCACCAGTTTCAAAGGTTATGAGTATAGTCAATATGTCACAATTAATGAGTCTTAGCAGCTGTTCACTGGGGATGAGGAGAAGAGAGATTTTTTTTTTTTCTCCTAATTTTCTGAAAAGAAAATAACAAAATGACAAAAAATAACAAATTGTATACAAATAACAAAACAAATAACAAATAACAAAAAAACAAATTGTCCCCAGCAGAACTTATATCTATTACAAGTCCAAGTACTTTTAGGACTCACACAACAGAGCTCCTACTCTTTTGCTGGTCAGGCTTTAGATTGTTACCTGGTTGGATAAATATCTCAGGTGACATCCCGCTACTTTTGACATGTGTGGGACTGGGATTTTACCTCAGATTACCCTCATGTTATAGTGTTATATCTGACAACTACCACCAGCGTCTGTAGTTTGTTTTCAAAACACATTTATTTCAGTCACAAACATTGGTAAGACCAAATTCTTTGCAATGACTTACTGCTCCAACACAAGAAATTCTGATCTCACACAAAGAATATAGTAGAATACAGAGCTGCCTCACTCTTAAAACATGAAGTTGAGATTTGCACAAATACAGCAACAACCTTTTAGGCCTAAGAGGTCAAACTCGGCCCCACAGAAACAATCATTTCAACCAGTGAGCATCACACTGTGCTCTATCACTCATTTTCAAAGAGATCTAAAATCACTATTTTGAGATAAACTACCACTATCAATATTTTCCAGCCGAAGGATATTGCTGTTCCATTTTAAATAGCTGTTAGCATTATTATTGTTACTTTATATATACATGTATGCACGTATAAACAGTTTTCCCAACCAGAGCTGGAGAAAAACAGATGATAAATGAGCAAGACTTTTGAAACAAAACAGTTTTACCACACAAATTTAGAAAATATATGAAAGTAAGAATGATATTGACAAATTCGGTATGATATCCAGAGATCAATGTTTTTCTTTTTTTTTCTTTTAAAGTAAACAGTTCTTATTCTATAAAGCTCAAAACTGCTTAAAACACAACCACGCATAATCAGATGGGCTAATTCTGAGATGATTAACTTTTGAATCTGATGGCAGTAGGAAAATAAAATGAAAGAAAAGTTCTAATTCTTTTATGTATGAACTTATTCACATTTTTGGAAAACAAGTCACATATAAGAAGTACTTAGGGTAGCCGTGTTGTTATGCTTCTCCAGACATTTCATGTTTCACACTGCTACAAAGTCATGCTGGTTGTAGGCTTGCTTATGGCATCAAAGAGTAAAAAATCCAGTTTTAAGCTTACTTGACACCCACTTGAACCTTAACTTTCTTCTTAGTACTGAAGGATTAAGATTGCTGTTTCATTCAGTTGCACAAGCTGAGTTCGTACAGATCAGAACGGTAGTAATTTGGGAAAGCAGTTCGAGAGTGCATTAACAGTGTTCTGAAAACTTCAAAAATGGACACAAATATTTCAGGAAACATTTCAAATATACATATTTTTTCTGGAGAATGCCTAATTGCTTTTATTTGCCACTATTGAACATCAAAGACTTTACTTTTAGCCATAGTTTTATTTAAGTCAGCTGTGACTGGGCAAAGCTGTAGCATTAAATACCACCTACACTGATAGAATTGTTGTGAAGAATATAACACTTTTGTGTTGTTTTATTTTTATTCAGACTTCCAGACACCCTTGCCAGACTGGACCTAAAGGGAAATGGCATAGAAGATGTTGGGGAACAAGAGCTGAAGGACTTGAAACAGCTTCAGGTTTTAAATTTACGAAACAACAAGATATCTGCCTTGAATCGCAAAGTCCTGGAGTACTTACCTCGCCTCCGGCATCTGTACTTAGATGGAAACCCCTGGAATTGCACTTGTGACCTTCTGCGAACTAGGAGAGCGCTCATGGACAAGGGCACAGATGTCCGAGGAGGGCAGTGTGCCGCACCAGCGGAGAGGCGAGGAGAAAGCTGGATGTCTTCCAGCAAGATTCTGCACCAGTGTCAAGACAACCTGTCTTCCATGGAAAAAGGCAAAGAAGACAGAAAGAAAATGAAACCCTATGACTCCTCCAGCATCGGAGCTAACACGGATGATGATTACTATGATTATGAGCTAGATTAACTCCTTGGTTAATCCATGGTAAACCTCTGCCATGTCCAGAGCTGCTCACTACCCTGTTTTTCTGCTGCCAGTCGGCCTACTAGGCCACCAGTAACTTTTCCTCTGAATCTGTACTATAACAGTTGAGAGGTGGGGACCAAAGGGCAACCGAAAATTGTAAAGAAAACACTGTCTTTCTGTGCCATTAGTATTAGGTAGTTTGAGGAAGGTAACAATACAAGTACTATCTCCTAGAAAAACAAATGTAATCTCTGTATGGCTTTTTTTAATGGTAGACCATTTGTATAGTTGCATAAAAAAACACAAAAATAAAATCTTGGAATACTGCGAGGTATCATTACTAGAAATTCAACCCATTTCAACTCATAATTCTGAGAGCGCTACAGTGATGTGCATAATTTCACAATATTGTTTGAAATCTTGCCTTTGAGAAACAATTTGCAGTTTTCCAGAAATACTTGCCTCTCATTTATTTTAAACTGTTTTTAAATGATATGAGACTAAATTAGCCGAGCTCCACGCAGAACAAGAAGGGTGTATCTTTACCATGGCAAATATAACAGAGATCAACAGTCAGTGTCCTAGTTAATAAGAATTATTACTATTTCCAAAGTTAAGTAATGTTGATGAACCAAAATATTCTGGTCAATTAAACTTGATTCTGTTATTGTAAAGAGGGGAAGGGAGATTCTCAGGAAATAGAATCTACCTCTGCAAAATATTTAGGTAAGACAAATAAAGTTTGCATTTTGGTTTACAAATAGCTAGTTGATTAAAATCTAACTTAAGCTGCTGCATATATATTTTTGAGTGATGTGCATATTCCATGTGGGAGAACTTGCAAGTGCCCCCTTGCACTGACAGGAACCTTCCAGATGCACAAAAAAAGGACCTCACGGTATATGCCTCAACTCTGATGTACACACAAATTCTATTGAACAGTTCCCAAAGTGCTTGAAAAATAAAGAAGGAATACCAAAACCACTAAAAACAGTGAATTAGAAGAAGTAATCTCAGGGATTTCCTGGCAGTTCATAAATCTCCACTGATAACTGAGCAGCGATAACACCAGCAAATTACTTTTCAAAGTAAAGAGTTGCTATTATTCTTTATCTCCCGTTGCCTTTCAGGAACTGAATGATCACTCACATTCATAAACGCTGTTTTGTCAGGTGTCCCGGGGCAGCACTTTGGTTATGTCCCCTATGCAAATGCTATTGACACATAACACCGGTTAATTTTTCTTTAAATTTTAACTTTTTCAGTGTGTCATCACCTCAGTAGAATTTTGGTGTCCAGAGGTTTATAGAGTTATGGAACAGGACAGTCTCCCTAGTGGCCTGAATGTGATTTATTTTTTTAATCAGCTAAGATTGCTCTGTATCAAAAATCTGAAAGATATTTATTTTCAGAGCAAGAAAAATATTTTAACGTTACAATATTTTAAATTGTTTCATTGTTTTTTTTAATTAGGGTACTGTAAATATTTTCATGTGTCATTTCTGTCTCCCTTTCTGTTCGAGGACACAGAACTAGCTTGAAGGCTCTTGCTCTTTTGCCTGTAAGGTATTTTGCGTAGCTTAAAGATGGAGGCAACAAGAAGCAACACGAACTTTGTGTAACGCACGTTAATTCCCATTAGGGAGGTCTTGCGCTAAAATACTGAGTTTGCAGAACGGTGATTGCTATGACAGACCTGATGAATGACAGACTGCAATAAAAGACCTGCTGAATGACAGAAAATGCCGAGATCTCGGTCATGACACTGACACATTCAACAATCTTCTACAAGCTATGCTGTCCCCATTTTCCACGCTAAATATAAAAGGGTTTTTTCTAATTCCCAGTATTTTCAATGAGAAATGAGCTCTGAATCACTCATGAACTGCCTGAACACCTCTGAGGATCTGAGACTTCATGTTTCTGGCCGTTATCTTAGCTACCATCTCACTGATTTCTAAGAATACTGTAGTGCTTTCCTGTCACTAAAGACTATTGGTGACACAGAACTTATATGTAACATTAAAAAGTAGCTATTTAAAAGTTCTCACAGTCAACTGAATTTGCAAGATCAGCTTTTAAATATGCACCAGATCAAAAGAGCAGGTTAAAAAAAAATAAATAAATGGATAAATAGTCTAAGCGGTAAGAACCCATAAGCAAAGCTATTACAGTCAATTAGTTAGCTAATAAACCAGGGAGGTCTAGGAATTACAGTCACATGGCTAGAGCACAGATTGCAGTGCGACTCTCCCCATGGCTCCTTTGGGTTGGTAATGATGCACTTTAGTCGGTAGATGGTGCTGCTTCTTTCTAGCCCTCTCCATCGATATCACAGCATATGATTAGGAACGTATGTTTTTAGATTTTCATATATTTGCAGAATGACTGTGCCAGTATTACTTGTGTCTTGTACATAGCCAAATAAGCAACAAAAAGAAAAGCTGTCTTCCTATATCAGCACACCCAACAAAACACACTTTCAAGCCTACTGGACACAGAAGAGGACAGAATGATGCTTTCAAACCGAAAAGGCACTGAAAAGGCAAGATTTAAATATCTAACAGATTCCATATTTTTGCTATCCCTGAACTACTTTTCATATGCAAAAAAGTAACTCACTAATGGCAAAGCCAGAAGCACTTCCAGGCATGGCTTGCAGCCCTCTAAACCTCCTACTCCCGGTCTTCTGACATTGTCACTTTATCACTCAGATAAGGAGATGAATAAGAAAATGTGAAAATTATTCTCTTCCTAACCAAATCAATGTTACCGCAGCACCAGAGGGCAAAGGCACACTGAAAGTGCTCTCTTTTGCAAGGCAAGCAGAAGCAATAGCCATGAACTGTTGCTATCATTGGCCCAACACATTTTAGACTGGTAACTCCCCACCTACTCACACCCGTCCCACTTTCCAATACTGTGTTTTATTTTCTACCCCCTGAACCCGACTGACCTCTGCGGGGCCTATGGCCAGGCAGGCTGGGCTCTGCTTGGGGGGACTCCCCAGCTGTCTCCTAGCCCTGCCTGCTCCCTGTGGGGCAGAGCCTTGGGGCCTTGCTGGAGCCTTGTCCCCAGCCCAGGGCTGAGAAGAGCTGCCAACCCCTCTTGGAGCTTTAGCTGTGCCCTCCTTGCTGTCTGTAGGTGAGAGCTGTGGGCTGTTTGTGCTTTCAGGCTTGGTGAGTAGTTGTGTCTGAACTTCAGGGCTAGCTGCTTGTTCATGTGTTGCATTGCTTGTGCAAAGGAGCAGCATGGAAAGGTAACTAAACGTAATAGTCTCACATGCTGCCTGCATATCAAAAAGATGAGAAAGGTACATTATACTTCTGGTATAATGTACGGTCAGGCTGGATGCCACAGTTAACTCTGTGGTATGAGGCAGCAGTTATGAAAGTTGGGGTGCTTTAGAGGTCTGTTAAAGAGTTTCTTTTATTGTTGGATCTTGGCTGTGGAACTGTTGGCTCTTACAGGTGTCCTGGTCCCACATCACTGGGTTCCTTAAACATGATATTTTTGATCCACTTCCCTGGTGTGACTGTGAAACAAGCCAGACTTCCTCATAGCCGCTTTTCCTCCAGAGGAGACAAAACCAGCTATATTCAGAATTTCCCTAGGTCTGGTTTCCTCTCTGACTGCTACGATGGTCTCTTACTGAGTCTAGAAAAGATACCAATGAAGAAGGACTAATAATACGTAGAATTCATTTCATCCTATGTCTAAGGCAACAAGATTCAATAAAACCTATCAGTGGTGCTGCTGTCAGAGAGGAGACTGTAAGAGGCTAATGCTTCATTGCAGCTTTGTGCTACTTCTGATGGACGAATATGGATGTTATGCAAATTAGAGCAGCTTTGTAGATATATACCAGTTTAAAAAATACAATCTGTCGGTAGGGATGATCTAGTGCTCCTTCAGGGCAGAAAATGAATAGTACATCCCATCTAAGTAGGTGGTATCTCTTGTGGTCACATTTGTGAAAGCACCTGAGGTACAGAGGCCTTTCCCAAAGTGCTGGCACTTAATTATGGGGAGGTTCCCCATCCTGTCCTTCACCGCTGCCTTTAATTCTTGCTTTCTGGATGGTCCTGCCTGTGGAGCACAGAAGTCAAGGGACCGGCTTTCATTAAATACTCTTAAGATTTGCATAAGAAGTTGGACTGATAAGTGATTTCAGCTAAGCCTAAATTTGCCATCTGTGCAGGGCTCCTGCAGAGCTTGGTTATGCTGTGTGTCAGTGGGAGAATGCTTACTGCTTCCTTGGGAAGTCAAGGAATGCTTGAAACAAGTACTTGCATAACATCTCAACGACATCAGAAACTTTCTGATAAGTCACTTACCTGCTTATGTTTTTATTCTCAACTTAAAAAACTTTCAACCAATGCTGCAGAGCAAACACTGAAGGGTGTTTCCACTGTGGTCTGAAGAGGCATTTCATTGTGCAGGCCTATCTGATATTCCTCAGAAGCATAGTCTGCAGTATTGCCTAATATGTTGGGGGCTAGTAGGTACGTATTGAAAGAGGAGACCATGGTTAGAATCTTCCTTGACCTGCACATGGTGTGACACAAATGCACGTGTGAACTGAATTGTGCAGCAGATCCAGCAGAGAATGATGTTTCTTGGCAGATTTGGGTTTTCAGGTATTTCACTGCCTAGCCATTCAGCCAGAGGGTTCCAGCAAATGAATGCTTAGGCAGCCCCTGAGATCCTCTGGGTCAAAGGCAAGAGCGAGTGGGAGTAGAGTGGCATTATTCACTGAGGAGAAAACCAAGGCTGCTATTCAAGTATATGTGCTAAGCTCTGCAGGTCAGGTCTAAGATTGACTGTTGCAACATTGTGAATGTTATGACAAAACAGGACAAGGTTATGAAGTCCTCTAAAGAGCAGAGTACTCCAAATAGTCTTGCAAAATATTTTATCTCTGCAGTTAAAAGGAAAAAAAAATGTGAATCAAGACTCCATTAGCTGTTGTTACCTCACATTAAAGTGAATGTTTGAGTAGTGTATTAAGGGCTTTATGAAAAAAGGCCATAATCTCATGACTTTAGTGTCACGAGACAATTCTACTTAGTGCTTAATTCTTCCATTAGTCTTCTGGTATCAAAATATGCTGGTTTAAATCCCAGCTTTAATTTCAGCTTCTTACTATATAATTGCAAGAGCAAGCAGTTGAAGAATGCAAGTCTTAATGCAAAAGAGCTAAATTATCAACAGCTAAATGGAAGTCCATGGCTTTAGTGAAGCTTCCAGGATTGATAAGGATAGGGAGGCAGGTATGTATGATGAGAATTGCTGCCACTAGGTATGCGTTCCTCTCTGGCTTCCAGCAGACCTCTTGGGACACCAGGCACAGCACCTTGTCCCATCTGAGTCTGTTAAACAGGCTTCAAAGCAAGCATAGGAAAGTAGAGCAGTTAGTCTGGCTTGAGGATGTGCATACTTCTGACAGTAGCAGATCTGGTGTCCTCAATGCTCAATTTGTTGTGTTATCAGCATTTGAGTACACATTGACTGTAGCAAGTACCGATCAGAGGTTTTGCT